GTCTCCTGGGGGTGGGGTGGGGGGCTGGCTGTCTTCGGGGCAAGAGGGTAACCCCCAGAGCTGCACGGGCCCTACCCTGTGGACACACACACACGTGGCTGAGAAAACGAGCCTTTCCTCAGGTCCGGCCCTGTCCACCGGAGGTGCAGGCTCCTGCTGACACCACCAAGGAAGACTGAGCCTTTGGATGTCCGAGATGGCATCTCTGGATCACTGGCATGGAGGTCTTCGCTGCAGGAGTGCCCAGCTGTCCCCCAGCCCAGGGGGGCGCCGTGGTGGGGCTGGGAGGAGGTGGTTAGGTGTGTGCTCCGTGCAGTCGAGAGCTGATAAAGGATGTCAACGTTCCTCTTTATAATTAAGAAGATAATTTAATCGCTGCTATTAAGATCTCAGCTCCTCCCGAAGTGGGCTGCTTTCAACAAAATGCCTTTGGTTCTGCTGTTTCCCACACACAGCCCTGGCAGCGCTCAAGTGGAGATGCCGAGATTCCGAAGTTTCATCTCGTGAACCATCTGGTTTGAGGTAGTACAACAAGCAGGAAAGGGAATTGAATCAAAGGCACAATTTGAGTTTTTCTAAATACAGCAAACGTGTGAGGTAGACCAGCAAACACCCCTGTGGTCCCCTCCCAGGGCTGGGCCGTGTCCCCCGCCTGTTCCCAGCTGGGCCTGTGTCAGGACACAGAAGCTGCTCCCATATTGCGGAAGGCACATGGGGACAGGCCCGTGCGGAGGTTCTGCCCGGAAACCCGCAGAACCGAAGGGCCTCACTGGGCCCACATGGAGGAGGAGGGGGTCCCCCCGTCACAGTAGGGAAACCAAGGCCTGGGCCTGTGGAAGCAGGCTCACCCCCTCTGCACCCAGCTCCAGCTGGGCCACACTCCTGCCTCCACAGGAATCATCCTTTTGGTCCTAGAAGAAGCTCCCGGCCCCCACCTCCCTCTGGCCGCCTGCACTTGGCTTTGATCTGCAGCAGCACCTGGAGGGCAGTGCGTCACGCTCCCCCTCCCCCACCCCCATCCATGGCCCACATACCCTCCGGACCTCCCCAGCCCCAGGGAAGGGGCTGCAGCCCCACAACCGCCAGGGCCCTTCCCTCCTCAACTCAGGCCTGAGGACCACCGAACAGACCACCTGCATCCCAGGGCTGGCAATGCAGTGCAGGGGGTCAGTCCTGAGCATCCTCACACCAGCAGGGGCGGTTCTGTGGGGTCACAGGGCTCCAGATCAGGGGCTCTGGGGACTCAGGTGAAGGGGTGCAACCGCCGGGCTTGCGGGGTGCCTGGCACTGGGCGAGTCTCCAGAACCGCCAGCCATTTGTGCCAGGGGCACAGGGAGGGCAGGCAGTTCCCGAGCCTCCCTGGGAGCTGGGCCCTTTACGTCCCAGACACAGGCTGTGGGACGGAGGAAGGCGGCAGCCGGCCCAGGGAGCCGCCTGCTGCTGGGCACTGTCACCCCACAACCCAGGGTCCTTGGGCTCCTGAGACCCCTGATGTGGGGCCCAAAGGCCCCACCCTCCTCCAGTTGCTCCCGACTTTCCCTCTTTCACACAGTGGACGTTGTTGTTTGAAGAGCTTCGGGATTGAAGAGTCCAGAGCCCCTGGGCCAGAGCTCTGAGGTCCCTCCTGGTCCTAACTCTCGTCCTTGCTGCTCTGGCAGCCAGAACCTGGGGGCAGGCAAGAGGGGTGGAACACGGCCTCTGGGCCGACAGGGAAACACAAGGAAGATGCCTGTGGGGGCATCCAACAACTGAGGGTGAGCCCCCGAGGAGGAGGGGCGAATAGGACCCCAGCCACACACACAGAAGGGTCGGGGTGTGGGAGGAGGGGCCGGAAGAGGGAAGATGATGGACGGTCCCAGGGAGGATGTCTGCAGCTGAGGGTGCTAACCAAGCACTTGGGTCAGGATCAGTGACTGAGAGAGGCCCGAGCGCCCTTCTGAAACGCAAAGCCCACAGCAGAGGCTGGGTGCCCCAAGCCAACCCTTCCCTCTGACCCCCAGGATGAAAGGCAGGGTGATGGCAGTCTGTGGGGGTGATGGGCAGCACAGCACCCACTAGAGAACAAACAAGCACCTTTCACCGGAGACTGGACACTGGTCTGACATAGAGAACCCTGACCGGTGCATTGTGGTCGGCTGGGCACCCGGCTCACGACCCATGCATGACAAGTTCTTGCCAGGCCAACTTACCTGTGGGGGCAGCGGAGAGAGAACCCGCCTCTGGGGGCCATTCCCCAGGGCAGGCGACCATCTGCAGGGTCTAGCCCACAGGCTGCCAGGCACTCAAATGCAGCCGGCTGGGAGCCTGACGTTGACCTTTATTCTGTCCGGTTCATCAGCGCGTGCACGGCCCCGCATCAAAAAGCAGCAGGGCTCTCCCTCTCCAGTGGGTGGTGATCTCGGGAGGGGGCCACGCTCCGCTGAGTCCTCTCACCTGCAAATGCCAGGTGCCAGCGTTGGTTCAGGGGAAGCATCTCCTCACTTTAGCTTTGAACAAAACCAGAAAGAAGATTTCTCCACCCATGGTTTTCCCCCAGTCTGGATGGTGAAAGTGTGCAGTGGGGAGAGGGAGGCCTGAGAACCACAGTGGTCCCGAAGGGGTGGCCGGCGCCCACAGGGAAGGGCAAACCACTGCCCATCACTCCTGCAGGCCTCCCAGGACAAGGGGGTGCTGGGTGCATTTGTGGCCCCCAAGCAGGGGAGCCCAGTGGCACAGCTGGCTCACCCAGAGGGAGATCTGCAGTGGAGAGTAGATGGTATCCATCAGGGGTGGTGTCCAGGGCTGCCCTCAGGAGTGCATTCCTGAAGCTCTGTCCACGGAGCCTGCTGGCCACTCAGGCAGTGCTGCAAGTCTTCATGCCCGGGCACCAGGTGCCCCATGAGGCTCTGGAGGGCCCTGGCTCCAGAGCTCACCCTTCAGCAGCCTTGGCCACCACTTCCCTTCCTAGACCTGCCTCAAGGGAACAGTTCCTGTCGTCCAATTGCTAAGCTCTAGGTCACTTCCGCCTCCAGGACCAACACATCCGGGAAAAAAGTCCAGCGCAGGGCAGGCATCAGGAAATGCCTGGCTGTGTCCTTGGAGATGTGGTGCCTCCTGGCAGCGATCGACACAAATACACTGGGTCAGGCACAGAAGGGGGACAAAACCTCGGCCACTTGCATTTCCCGTCCGTCTCGTGTCCAAGTCGGCAGCCTTGACGTTGACAGGCTGTCAGCTCTTCCTGCCTGGATTCAGGAAGGGAGGGATCAAAGGGTTCCTCTGGCCCCATCCCTGTTGTTGAGCTAATAGGTCCCTCACCACCTGGCCTGGGAAAAACGCTTCACAGGCAGGTTTCAAGATGACTCATGACCACTGTCATTGTGGCCCCATCCAGGTCACTCCGTGGGGACACTCACAGCAAATAAAGTCAATAAACAGGGGAAAACGCAGGCCTGAGCCAGGGCCAGCCAGGGAAATGCTACAAGAGCAGAACTACCTGTTTTTGTCTTCCCGATAAGAGTCAGGGCTTCTCCCCTTCCTAGCCCCCAACGGACAGTGTCCTGTCCTGCACGACCAAGACCGTTACACCAGCTTCCGTGGAAAAACACACAGGACAGGCACCGGCCTGAAAACAGGCCAGGGGTGCGGGCCCAAGTCCTAGAAAAGGGACAACCGCCAAGTGAGGAATTTAACAAGGCCGGATGCACACCTGGGGCCACAAGGTGGCAGTGGGGGAGGGGCGCTCTGGCCGGGCTGGGAGGGGCGGGGAGAGGACGCAAGGAGGCGTGGCCGGGAGGGGGCTGGGAGGAGGGGCTCAGAGCGTACCTCAGGGACCCCCAGCCCCGCCCAGGACCCGGCTGCAGGGAGACCCCGAGTCCCCGAGTCAGCCCGGACTCGCTCTCCCCGAGACACCCCGCGCGATGTGACTGGACGCAAAGAAATGGACACTCAGGCAGCTTCCAAAAGAGGCGAAACCGTTTATCAAGGCGGCGCCGGCGCGGTATCTACAGTTATCTACAAATATCTACAAGTATCTACACCGCCTGCAGACGGGTTCTCGGGTCGTCTACACTGCAACTGCCAGCCGGGCCGGGGGACGTCGCGGTCTCGCGGAGAACAATAAATATCACTTCCTTCCGGCGCGAACCGCGCACTTTGGCACTGGCGGTGCGGACCCGGGGCCCTCGGGGCCGAGGAGGGACTCGCAGTGGCCCTGGGGCCAGGGAACCAGGTCCTTGCACAGCTCTGGGGCTGGCGGATGGAGGCCCCACGGCTTGGAGGCCCGGGAAGGGGGCCTGCGGTGGCCCCGGGCTGGGTGGACCGGACCCCCAGGCGGACGCCCACATTATCTGGGGCAGTAGTCGTAAGAGCCGGGCGGCGCGGCCCCAGCCGACCGGCAGCCGCGGCAGCGGCGGCGGCGGCGGCGGCGGCGGGGCTCACGGCGGGGTGGTGGTGCGGGTGCGCGTGCGGGTGCGGGTGCGCGTGGAAGCCGTGGCCGCGCAGGCCCGGCAGCGGGTAGGGCGCTGGCCGGCTCTTGGCCCCGAGGTAGTGGTCGTAGGCGGTGGCCGGGTACTTGTAGGGGTGGTGGTGCAGCGGCTCCGACGCGCCGGGCGCCTCCAGGCGCAGCTCGGGGTGCGGGGGGCTGGGCCGGCCTCCGGGCGCGCCGGGCAGCGGGACGCCGGACCCGGGCAGCGCGGGGCTCAGCACCCGCGCCAGCAGCTGCGGCGGGTGCGCCGGGTCCCCGAGCACGGCCGGGCCGCCCGCGTCGCGCTCGAATTCTCGCCGGGCCTCGGCCGCGTCTGCGGGGAGGGCCGAGGGCTGAGCCGCGGAGAGGCCCGCGAGAGCGCGCCTGCCCCCGCTCCGCGCCCCTGCCCAGCCCCGGGCCCTCCCCGGGGGCCCGCGCCCTCCACTGGGACGGCGGGCGGGGCGGGCAGGCGCAGCCGTCGGGCCGGGCGGGCGAGTGCGCGCTTGCCCGCCGCCGCGGCCGTTGTGCAACCGGCGCGCGAAGGCCGCGAGCGCCCCTGCGGCGCGGGCGAGGCCGGGCGCTGCCGTCTGCCCAGATCCCACGACCCCGGCCCTACCTTTCTCCGCACCGTTGGGCTGTGTTGGGGAGGCCACGGGGTTCCGCGAGCGGGCAAAGGCGCTCATGAGCGGCAGCGCGCCGGGCCGATGGTTCCGGGGCCTGCGGGAGGGAGGTGGGCGGCGTGTCAGGGGGCGCCCGGCCAGGCGCCCGCGCGCTTGCCGTCTCCTCGGGGGACACTCACCAGTCCTCGGGGTCGCAGTCTCGGAAACCTTTGGCGAAAGGGTTACTGGCGATCTTGAGCTGGGTAATCTGCAGGGAAGCGGGCACTGAACACCCGGCTCCAGCCCCTGCTCTTGGGGCCACCGGACCTCGGTGGAGCGGAGGGGAGCGTTAGGAGAGCCCTCCCCAACTCAGGAAGGGCCCCTCTACTCTCCGCTGACCAGAAATGCCTGGCTCACAACTGCTCCCTCCCCCGCAGGGGTTGTGCCTCTCTCCTGGGGCAGGGGTGCTGGGGAGACCCCTTTCTCTCTAAGGAACCTGTCTTTTCCATCCCAAGTGATTAGGATAGAGACCCTGCTCCCCCGGCTGGGATGGGAATGTAGTCACTTCCACCCCCCACCCCGCTGTGGTCCAGAGTGGAGGGGCACCCTAGGAATCTGGGTAAACCACGCATCAGGCCCCTGATGGGGAGTTTCCGGAATGGTTTGGAAAACAAACTTTCAGGCCACAGTGACAGTTCCCCCTTGAGAGGTCAACCTGATAGGAGGCTGGTCCGCCTGCAGCAGAGGGGAGGAGGCTGCCTGAGGCTCTGGGGGTGGGGCTCCATCGAGTGGGGTTTCCAGGAATGGAACCTTCTGTCCCCCAGGCAGCAACTGAAAATTGCACCCCTGCCCAGAAGTGTTGACCGGGCCACCCAGGGCCTCACCCGGTGGTTCTGGTAGGCAGTGACCGCAGTGAAGCGTGTCTCCTCAAACACAAAGGTTTTGAAGTTCTCCTCGGCGTATTTCTCGCTGTCTTTGCGCGGGTCCACATAGACCACGTGGAAGCGTGGCTGGTATCTGTGCATGGAGTTGAGAATAATCTGGAAGAAAGGTGGTGAGGGCCGAGCTAGGAAACCAGCCAAGGTCCGGATGGGCAGTGAGCTTCCAGACAACTCGGCAGAACCCTGAGCTCCCAAAAGGAGGCTGGGCCGTGGGGCATCACCACCTGGATTCCAAAGGCTGCTGCGCTCACCCCCAACCCCGCACGGCCCCATCCTTTCCAGTTAAAAAGCCTCCAGCGAAACACAAGGAGTGGGGAGAGGGAAGCAGTGTGACCCCCCAGTCCCCGCGCCCCTGACCGGAGGGCTAGCTCTCCTCGGCCTGTCCCTCATCCACACCCAAGCTGCCCAAGCTCTGCCTCTGGCTCCAGTCAGCAGGGACTCCCGAGGGCCTGCTGGGGGACAGGGCGGTAGCCTGGGGGGGTCGCTCACATGGCCATTGTCGTCCAGCAGGTTGTTAGTCAGCTTGAGCTTGTCGAAGGAGACGATTTGCTTCATCCACTGTGCCCCCTTGGCCGGTGAGTCGGGGTGGTAGTGTACGCGGCCGGGCGTGGCGGGGTCTGCCTTCCCGGCCACCAGCCAGGATGAGCTGTGGAAGGCGTACCTGGGACGCCGGGGCAGGGGCCACAGCATGCTGGGGTGAGGGCCTTGCCGAGGGAACCCCGAAGGTGCCTCTGATGAGGTTCCCACAGGTGAACGGGGAGCTTTTCCAGGGGCAATGTGAGGAAAGAGAAAACTCCCCGTCCTGATACACAAGCGGCAGGAAGCGACCAAAGGGAGGAAGCCGGGCCCTGGCGCCACATTTCGCCGCACGCGGGTCGCTGCTCTGGGCCTCCTGTGTCGCCGGCGCGGCGGGAGCCCAGATTGGGCCACGCCGGCGGCCTAGGGCGCAGGGCGGACCAGGTTCTCTTTATTAATTGCTGTTAATTGTCCGGGCGGCCAGGCCCGCCCTGCATAATCTCTCCTGGCCACCCCACCTTTCCTGTCAGCTCTGGGGCCCAGCATTCCCCGGGGGGTGGGGGAAGGGATGGGGTGCTGCCGCTCACCTCTCGGGAGAGGGGGACACGGAAAAGGCAGGGGCTGTGTGCGAGGGGCCAGACGGTGGGGGCCCAGCCTGCATGACCCCCTGAGGGCCACTCCCCAGAACTGCTGGGGGTGGGGCGTGTGGGTCTGGGGTCTGGCAGGAGTGGGGAGGGGGCACCGGTCACTACTGTCCTGGGCCACCCACCCTCACCAGCCTGGCCAGGCAGGGACCCACCGCCCTCCAGGCCCGGCTGGGCGCTCACCGGTAGCGCTTGTCGTCCACGGGCACAAAGTCCATGAGGAGCATGTAGTCGGCCATGGGGTCCATGCCGAAGAGCTTCACTTGGAAGGTGGGGAACATGCGCCTGGGGGCGGTGGGACCTCGGTCACCTCGGGTGGGGGAGGGCAGGGCAGCCCGCCTCCACCAGCCCAGGACGTGGCCTCCCCGCCCGGCCGGCCGCTGTGCTGGGTGGGGAGGCCCCTCATCGCATCTCCCCTCACTCGTCTGCTTGACTAACCCGACCAGGCCCCTGCCCAGCCAAGGGCTAGTGGACGGCAGGACAGCCCCCTGCCCACTTTTTAGAAACACAACAATGGCGAACTCAGTGCTCGAGCCAAGCCTCCTCTTGAACACAGGCCTTTGGCTTCTTCCGCCAACTTTGCCCGTGTAGACCCAGCCTAGCAACTGCCGATCCAGCCATCCCATCCCGAGCTAGCCTCAGCCGGCTGTAGCACCGGCCCCCGGGATCCTCAGCCCTCGGGCGGACCTCCCCTGCTCGATCTAATCAACCGCCCTAAGCTCCCGGCTCAAACAAAGTGAAAGCGAGGCAGACCGTGTGATTCTGAGGAGTCCCAGTCGCCCTTTCGGCTGGATCTGCGGCTGCTCCCCAGTCCCTCCAGTAAGGCCGAGGCTTGGAGTCCACAGTCCCGACTCTGAGGCCCTGCCTCCCACCCAGTGCTGGAGTCTCCCCACCTTCCTCGGGGACACACGCAAGTTCCCAAGACGCAGCTACTCAGGGCTGACTTGGCTTGTGTCCTTGGGGTCCCCTAACTCTCCCCTCCCCTGGGCTCCGACTCGGTGACTGACCCGGGCTCTGGAGAGGACATTCTGCGGCTCCTACCCTGGCCACTGGCCATGGGCCGGCCTTGCCCTGAGTGTGGGCTGCTGGGCCCTGGAGGACAGCATGAGGCCCCCACCTGCTGGTCCTGCAGCTTCCCCTCACAGGCAACTCCTTGCGGGTGGTGGGCAGAAAACAGATGCCAGCCCTCCTGGACAAGCCTGCCACGCCTGCCCTCGCCTCTGCAGGCCAGAGAGGGCTGCAGAATGCTGGCTTCTGGGGCGAGCCTGGCCCCGCCGAGGCCCTTGCTGGGCTGGACTGGGCCGGAGGCTGGGGCACAGTCCTCATGGGGTGGCGGGGGGAGGCCAAGTGCCCAGGCCAGCAGGAGAGCCTGGAGAAGACCCCTGATCTGGAGCTGGACACAGGCCCCAGGCTCCCAGGGCGGACGCCGCGGCACGGAAAGAGAAACCACGAGCAGGCTCTGCAAACAGGCCCTGAGCTCCCGTTGGCTGTGTGGACCCAGAGCTGGTGTCTCCTGTGTACACTAGACACAGACCGGCACCCGCCTTTGTCTGCCGGTCAAATTGGTTGCATCGCAAAACTTGTTCCCCTTCTCTCTGGGCCCTTAAAACAAACACAGGCCAATTGAAGGCGGCGGCCCCAGCAGCAGAGCCAGGCCCCACCATCGCCCGAGACGTAGGCCTGAGAAGACTGGATAGCAATCTCCCCTGAAACACAGCACAGTTTTGAAGGGTCTTAACTCTCTCCTACAAAGTTCCAGACCATTGCCCCATGGCCGGGCTGCGCCTCTATCTAGCCCGGATGGACTGAACTAGGGAACCAAAGAAGGCAGTTTCTTCTTAAAAGTTGGGATCCACTGGAATCTGCCAGGTGGTGAGGCCCCTGGGAGGGCCCGGCGAGCTGAGCCGGCCCCTGCTTCAGGCGCCGGCGTCCTGGGACTGAGGGTGCACCCGGGCGGCCGCGCTCCTCCGCCGGCCCCTCCGCCAGCGCGCCAGGCGGCTGTCGCCGGAGCCGGGACCCGGGAGCGAAGGAGCCGGCCGCGCCCCCACCCCGCTTGCCGGCCCCGCTCGCGTGCGTCGGACCGAGGCGCGCGGCTAGGGAGGGGAGCCCTGACCTGCCGGCCTTGGTGACGATCATCTCGGTGCCCAGCTGGTTGAACTCGTCCCACAGTGCCTTCATCTCCAGCTGCACGCTCACGCTGGCCACCTTCGCGTTCTTCTTCACCGGCGCCTTGGCGGCGGGCGCGCAACTGGCCCCGGGGCCCTCAGGCTCGGCAGCGGCGCTGGTGGCGGCCCCGGCGGCCGGCGCGAACGGGTAGGCGTGCGGCGGGCCCGGGGCGCCGGGGGCGGCGGCGGCGCACGGCTCGTAGCGCGGCGGCGGGGGCTCGCGCGGGCCGTACGGGTCGGCGCCCGGCGACGCGGCGCCCGGGAAGCCCCCCGCCGCCCCCAGGCCGCTCAGGCTGCTGGCCGTGAAGGCTGCAACGTCGCAGAAGTGAGAGAGCTGCGTGAGCCACGGGCTGGACACCGCGGAGATCATGACCCGCGGGCCGCGCCGCCCCGCCGAGGTGAGCGCTGCCCCGCGCCCCGGGCCGAGTGGCGGGCGCGCGCTGCGCTGCGCCCCGGGCCGCGCCGCCCCACGCCGCCGCCCGCGGAGCCGCCCCG